GAGCGTATGAATTATTCAATTAATCCAATTTTTAGGGAATCATGACACAACAGTAAATTAATCTCGTAGACTTACCTAACATATTAAAATAAAATACGATTCATTAGTTTGTATTCAAGATGTCATGCAGATGCAGCTATAGTATACCAGCTGAGCAATCATCTCCTCTCCCTAATGATGGGACTATTTTGGCAATATGTTTATACTCTTTTCACATGAACAAGAAAGAATGAAACACACGACCAGACACATACATTCAGCTTACAGTATAAACTATTTACAGTACAAATTGTTTGTTTAAATCATCTGCTTTTTATTATTTGATGATATGGTGGGACTTTTAACAAGTAACCTGTTTCTAAAAGAAAGTAGAAGAGAGATGTCAGTTCCCACTTCTAGACTATCAAAGGTCATCAGTAAGTAAGAGAAGAGGAAGAAACCCTCTGATATGCTTTCAGCTGGACAATGTTCAATAGGATGAAGTGTTCAATTTATTTACCCCATGTCACAGTGCTCTCTGCCTCCACCTTATTCAGAGAGAACTGTCAGCCTGAAAGTTATAAATCTTTTGCATCTAACACTGAGAATTTCAAATTGATTTAATAAAAAATAATCAAAGCAGAAGGAGCAGGATAAAAAGTTCCAGATACTTTTGATATTAGCCTACTGGGGCAGTAATTCTGCATTTGGAAGTTGTCATTTCCCATATAGTCTCTACTTTAATGCATCATAATTACCTTCCCCTGCTCTTATTTTGTATAACTCCCATTCTATCTGACAAAAATCATTTATTTGAATCATGTTTAAACCTTTCAACAGATATAACATTAGATGCACATAAAAACCGAGAGTCAGGGAGACAATGCTCATAAATTTATTCCCAACAAATCTGTCAAGATGACAGTATATCATAACTGTGGAACTCCTTTTAAAGAGCACTTGCTCAGACATTGCCATTGTACTAATAATCCCATTTGCTCTCAGCGCAGTACTGCAATATTTCTGGATTCTCTGTAATAAAACTTCTGCTTTGTTACAAGAACAGCAACATTCTCAGTTTAATAATTAAAATAATAAACAAGCATTACATTGTTCATTATGTTTTTCCTTGTAAAAGGGAATATAGAAATTGAGGACGTGGGTAACTTGTGAGGAAATGAACACTGCCACCTGCTTACTCATGCTTTGCCCCTTCTGGTTGATTAAATTTCTCAGAATAGGGCATGGTTAAGGGAATCAATGCCTCCTTGGAAGGTCGTTTTCTCCTTGTCCAAAAAAAGCAACAATAAGACCATTAGCCTGCCTTGACCAAGAATATTCATACTATTATAGCTTGGTCTCAAATGTTTCTGTCCTGAAAAAGATGGTTGAGAAAATAGTAAAATAGGTCCAACTTGGATATATTTTTCCTAGGCTTTTGACTAGCCAGATATGGCTAATGGAATTTGAAAAAAATGAGATTCAAGAGCTACATGTACTCCAAAAGCCTCAAGTTACCTCAGGTTATGAAGTCTGGGTTTAGGTAGTCAACAGTGCCATTAAAAATGGCTGAGAATCTCTTCATCACCTCAGGAAATTGAAAACTTTATTGCATATTATGTATGCATGCTATATATTGTGATAGTTGCATATCACTTATGATTCACAGAAGGGGAAACATAGTAAATTGTGAATAATGAACAGGAGAAAATTCTTTATATGATTTAAAAAAAAAGGATCCAGAAAGATACCTTCTGCTAAAGCGGTATTTTTCTCTTTAGAGAATCAAACCCAGTGGCCATTTCAGACTGAGCATAACCTGCAAGGCACCCCTCCCCCACCGACTAATGTTTTAGTGTGGTCTTGACACTTCTAAAAGTGATGGGTTTAACAATTGGCATGATGTGAGGTCTATCTTTTAAAACCATCTGCTAATCACAGAAGATAGGTAGCAAATACAGCAAATTTTATATCAATATAGTTTTCTGTCAGCCTAAGATGTGAATAGCAGTTTAACTGAACTAGCAGGTAAAATCTTAAGGTTTGTTAGCAGTTTATGAGAGTGGAGGTTTCTTCTCCAAGCTTGTGGATTGGTTTCCGAACGTTTCGTTACCAGGCTAGGTAACATCTTCAGCGAAATTTAGGGCATGTCAGTGTCAGTGTTCTGCTTATAAGGGCTTCATGTGCTCAGTAGGTCTTATGATGGGGAGGTCATGTCAGATCAGGGTGTTGTGATGGGCCTTGTATTGGGGAGGTCATTGGGAGGTAAAATGCTAGTTGGGGGAGGTTGCGTGAGTTGGTTGAGGGTTGGTGCCATTGCTAGTTCGCTGTGTGGTTGATTTGAATTCTGAGGGGCTTGTACGCTTATTGTAGGTCAATGTATCTGTTGATGGAATTGCTTGTGGAGTGCCAGGTTTCCATAAACTCGTTAGCATGGCAGTGGTAACGTGGCCAATGATTCTTGTTGGTGCTGTTCAGTGTCAGTGTGGGTAAAGATTAGGGATTTGGGATTGTGGTGTTTGACTGCCAGCTGGTGTTCATGGATTCTGGTTTCCAAATGATGTTTGTCCCATGTAGAATTTTTGCAATTGTTACAGTTGATTTGTAAATTACATTGTTTCTTTCATCTTTCTGTATATTGTCTTTGGTTCTGGATAATTCTTGGCGGAGTGTGGCTGTGGGTTTGTGGGCTATTGCTATTCCTAAAGATTGGAGAAATCTGGCTGTCATTTCTGACACTCCTTTTGTGTATGGTAAGGTTAGTTTTTGCATGGTGGTTAGCTGTGTGGTGTATTGTTGTTTGGGTGCTGTGTTTCAGAATACAAAGTTTTTCAGATAGCTGTTATGGAGAAAGACATCAAGCAGCCGTTTCTCTTCTGCTTTTCTTAGTGCTGTGGTGCTGGAATGTTTCCTGGCCCTTATGTCACTCCACAAGACACATCGACCTACAACCAGTCTACAAACCCCTCAGAATTCAAATCAACTGCACAGCCAACCAGCAACGGCACTGATCCTCAACCAACTCATTCAACCCCCGCAACCAGCACTTTACCTCCCAATGTCTCTCACCTGACGTGATCTTCCTTTCACAAGATCCATCACAAGACCCTGATCTGACGTGACCCTTACCTGACGTGACCTCCCTATCACAAGATCTACTGACCACACAAAGCACTTATAAGTAGAACATCAACACTTACATTCCCTAAGCTCTGAGAACGTACCTCCACCCTCATCCTCCACCTGAGCTACAATATTCACCAGTATTTCAAAGTTTATATAATTTTGTTACAAAGTTATTGATGTTTAGATGAAAGTCTCAGGTCATTTTATAAAGAAGAGAGATCAGTTTGTCAAGATGACTTTATGAAGATTTGACTGCTAATATTGAAAATAATTAGAACTGTACGTGCTTTTTGTGTGTGACGAGAAGTAGGAGCACATTTTTTCCTAACACCTCTTAATATGTGGCTAAGGGATATTCTTAGTAACCCTAACCCTAATACAGCAGCTTCTATGAGAGAACCAAAATTTACAAGATGGTGGCGAGTGCAGCATTGTGATCCAAACCCCACACATTTTATATCCAGTTATATTGTAACACTGTACCCACCATCCTGCACATTTTGATTCCTTGTAATACAAGAATGGTAGTGCAGAAAACTGAACTTTATTGCTCAACTTTTCACCCCTTGGTATAACAATATTTAAAGGGATGATCTGTTTCTCTACAATTAGAGGGATAAAATAATGAATTGGAAATCTTCAGTAATCTAGACCAGTTTTCTTTAAATTTCTGCCTGGTGCACTGGATTTGACTCCCGCAATTCCCAAACAGCACAGCTTTGGAAAGATGAGTTTAGATTTGTGCCATGTCAAAAGCTTAACAGAATTACCGTATGTGTTCTTTACTGATATGTGGGATTATAGACAATTTTAATGTGGATCCCAGAATATATTTTCCTGGCCCTCAAGGTACACAACACCCATGTTCCATTCATATTCTGAAGCTGAGTGAGCCTCACTTGCCCTTCTCATCTTAGAAAACATGAACAGAGAGTGGAATGAAGCTGCTACTTGTCAGTTCAAAGGGAAAGACACGGGACAAGTCTCTGAAAGGGTGCAGCCTTGGGACAAGGGAGAAACCTTAAAAAGGGCACCTACAGACCAGATGAGAAGGGGCTAGAAAATCCCCATATTTCTAGCTACAATGGAAGAAGATTGCTCCTAAAAACTGAGCAACGGGTGTCAAGTTCCAAAAGTTTATTGAGTCAGGAAGCAGTAAACAGCCTTGAAATTTGAAATTCATAAAGCATTCCCATAATTTATTACCCTCTGCTCTCATTCCCCAGGGCAGAAACAACCTATCAGCAAACATCAACATAAAAAGAAGGGACTCCTGGCACTTTGAGAGCAAGGAAATGTAAAATGCAAAAGATTTTGGGCTATAAAACAGCAATAAGGTGTTGTGAATAACTCTAGCTCTGCCAGCCACTGCTCATTGCCTCTGATACTGAACTAAACTGAAATTCCAGATTCAGACTCTTGAGCAGCAGGGAAGACAGAAATTAAATAAGTCTGACATTTTTAATAATTTCAAGCAACTGGCTGCCAGTGGCGACTTCTTCCTATGGAAATGTGCAGCCTGAGGTAGATTTAACATTTTTGCGTTACGCTATTTGCATTTAATGACAAATCCTTTCAAAAATTCTCACTATGGTAAAAGCCTCAAGGAGTCTCATATTTCACAAAAATTAATTCAAAAATGGTAACAAGCTCAAGATTAAAAACAAACATGAGACAAAAGGACAGAGGTTTCTGGGCAGACAAGCTATTTTGTTAATTTAAAGGGAAAGACGGGTCTGAAGAAAGACATCCAATATTTTGGCATGCCTGGGCCACATTGAGTGAAGAGGAATTGTCTTGGACCATATATAAAATATATAATATGGTGAATGTATGTAAATAACAAACTTCCTTAATTTTTTTCCTATTTTTATTATAATCTTGTGGGACTGCATTACTTATTGCCCAGGGCTACAGGTGGCCCACGGGTTGGACATGCCTGGTCTAAAAGAAAGCTGCCAATGGGCAGGATATTGGTACAGGAAAGGCGAACAGGAGCCTGATTTGGATCAATTCTCTTGTACAGATGGACAGCAAGAGTCTGATATTAAATAGATGGCCTAGTGTCTTATTTCACAAAGGAAAAAATCCATTTAAAAGCATGTCATGCTGAAGAACTGCTAGACAACATACTAAAGAAGCAAAAGAACAGGGATTTTGAAGTTTTCTATCAATGTTATCTGGAGAACAGATTAAACGAGCACCCAAATCTCTTGTCAATTTTTTCTTACTATGGGGAAATAGAAATATTTCTATTTAAATTATACTAATTATTTGCCTCTATATGTTCCTATACATAAAACAGAATACAAACATCTTGTCATGTTATGCTCTTTTTTATTGCTTTTACTGGAGCTCTAGATTTTAGGGATAATTTAACATAGGAAGTTCTGCATCATGTCTCCTTCAAAATGTCAGTTGTGAAACTCTATTAATACACAGTGCCCAGCACAACAAAAATAAGATCCTCTTTAATTAAAGATGTTTTCATAGCAGTTAGAGGTTACCTTGGCAAATCTGCACATAAACTCAAGGATAATTGCAGAACTTGTCTAATCAAAAGATTTTACATTTGAGTTTCCCCTCACATGTAAGGGAATGGAGAAATAGTTAAGAAGGAATTACATGTCTCTGTTCCTGCTGTGATCAAATGTAGTCCCTCAAAAATCTTTTGGGGGATACGTTTGCCTCGTTCTATGTCATTCACAGCAACTGCAGCTGTAAAGTTTATCTCGTACCCTGTTCCCATAGTAGAACAAATTCTAGCTATTTTTGAGTAATCATTATTAATATAATAAAAGGTTGCCCTTGGAAACTCCCGTCTTCACTTTACATGCTAAATATTCTGTATTTTGACGTATATATTTTATTGTTGTCAGTTAACCGCTAACATTGTATGGAGGGGTCATGTAGTGCTCTAGAGAATGTATGCAAAGGTAGTATGGGGATAAATGATCACGTGTTTCCTAATCATTATATAGAAATATCTTACACTGCAAATGAAAGAAATTCCTCAAGCACTGACTTGCTTAGTACATAAACCTATGCTTGGTTAAGTTTCCACTGGTTTTTTTCCCAGTCCTTTTAGCCTTAATTTCAGACTTCAACTGTAAATGCAAGTCATTAAGATTTTATTAATAACCATGGCTGAAAATATACAAGATAAAGAGTGAAAAGAGCTTGGTTGGGTGAGAATGAAGCCCTTCCTCTTATGTGGGCCTCCTGTGTTTCCCATCATGTGTAAGAAAGAAACTTTAGGCAGTAAGCTTCATCACAAAGCATCCAATGTTAGCAGTACAAAGCATTTATATACAAGGGACAATATGCCTCCCCAGGTTGTAATTTGTGGTCAATATGGAGCTTCTGAAAATTAACTTTGGCCACAGTGAGATTTCTAACGATTACACTGTATTTTCATGCTATGGTAGCAATTAGTATGCAGCTCTCCTGCTTAGCAATGGGCCTTAACAGACTTATCTGTACACCAAGTAAGGAGAGCATTATCTGAAGTTATAGAAGTCCACTGAACGCCTTCCACAATAACAATATGGAAAGATTCTGAATGCACCAGATGTAAGGCAGTGTATACAATTACTGTTTCTTTCTTTCCGGGTATGCTTAGCTGGGAAATATACTGGCAGGTTTTGCTGCATCTTGTTTCCTGAAAAAGGAACAACCTCTAATGGCATTCAGCAACCACTGCTGTTTACAAAGGACTCTGAATCCAGAAAGGATGGTTTGATATATTTGAAAAGTATATCTGGCAGGCACAAATTAAAGAGATGCTGTGAGATGTTTAAATTTCAGAAGATGTTCTGACAGAATTCCCAATTCCCTAGTTCCAATAGGTCAAAGATGCCAGAAGATAAAACCCACAGAAGTGTGCTAATTTTCATCAGAATTAAAACTGGTTATTGGAAAGACATTGCTTAGAACTTCTTGATCAGTTAGATAGCAGCATCCACCTGGCTCTTCCCTATGGACAACTGGTGTACTTAAACCAGGAATATTGTTGCCGCAAGCCTAATTCAGCAGCGTCCTATTCTCCAGGAAAGTTTGCAGGTCCAGAAGAAGAGGGTTCTGCAGCACTCTTCCCCATGCTAACTCTCTTGGTCCCTTAAACCTGTCTCCTGTTGGGCTGCTTCCTCCTTTCTTTTCATGACCTCCAGTACAGCCAGTTCCTTTGCTTCTTTCTTCTGATTGCGAGCTTCAAATTCCAGCCTACAACAACCAAGAGATCCATAGTTATGCAAGGATTTTTTTTTTCACTGCACTTTTTCAAATTGCGGGGAACTCTGATTTTTTTACGTGTGCTTTGAGCTGTTTCTGAGAATTTTCTTCCACAAATCAGGTGTACACTATTCAGAAAGCAGGCAAGGGTGTTTCAGATCCAGCAAGGGTCCTGGGTGGTACAGCGGCCCCAGGAAAAGTATGGTTCTTTAAGAAACAGTGATCGATACAAAGAGAGCGCTCATGCCGATCCGAAGGACCCTTTTCTGCTTAAATCTAAACACTGAGCAACTAAGTCAAGGAAATTACCATGTCTTCTTCCTAATTAGTTGCAATATTGGTTATTTTTAAGAAACGCAGAATATTTTGAGCAAACATGATATTGTAAAAAATATAACCACAGTTGTCTAATTATACATGGGCTGGGCAATTTACGGTTTGTGGACCACATATGGCCTCCAAAACATTTCTGCAGCCCTCAAAATTAAGTTGCCAAATTGCAGTTGCAAAATATTCAGAGGTGGCTGCATGATGTTCTACTGGGTAAGGATTAATTTAATACACTTTAATGTTTTAGGTAACTGTTTAAAAGATGCCCACAATCCCACCCCAAGTGCAAGGACAACTAGAACAATGTAACAACCTTCACTGCAGCTCTCAGTACTGAGAAATCAAAATATACCCCCAAACCATACAGAATGATTCTTTCTTATGTAAATTATTATTTTGTGGGAAAGATAACCGGCTTAATGCGGGTCATTAAAAAATAGGTTTGATGAATGAAGAGTTTATAGCAGCAGAATCAAAGTCCTATCATACAACACACAAATTTACTCAGTTACAAGCAGCTAACCTGTTCTTAATTATTCTTTTCACTATCAGGTCAGTGGTGAGATTGTTGCCACTGTCTATCAGCCGGAAAATACCACGCCTCTTGGGTTCCTATAGATACAGAGAAATGAATGAACGAATAAATAAAAAGAGAGCGAGTGAGTGAGAGTGAGAGAGAGATGAAAACAAAATCTCTTACAGCAGAAGTGATGGTCAGGGTCCCACTTAACATAGGCCATGGGGCCAAATTTGATAGAGCAATATTGTACAGTGGTGGGTTTAGGAGGATTCTTTTAGATTTGGTGGGGGTGTCTTATTTTCTTTTCTTTTTTCTTTCCTAACTACCTTAAATACTTTATAGGACTTGTGTTATGCGATCTCAACATGGAGAAAATTGTCCCATCAATTTTCAGGAACAGTGATAAGACATCATTCCAGAAAACCCTATCCAAATCAAGGATGTTTAAGACCCAAGTATAATCTTAATACTTTTTGGCACCACCCCTGTTTTTCAGCCATTCTCAGGAAGGCAGCATTAATTCTTATTAAATAGGCTGGAAAAAATTCCATGAATGCATACCTGTATATGGCAATGTAGAAAGAAAGAGTCAATAAAACAACTAGAATTGGAGAAAAAAAAAAGAACTCTGCAATTTAGCACAGCAATGAGACAATTCACAACTGGCCCCAAAGTTGGTAACTCAAAGTTCATAGACTATAAGCTATATTCTTACTGTTCATTTGGACACAGAGTTGTTTAAAAACGACCGAAAGAAATTGATTTCCTTGTCATATATTGTGACCTGAGGCCCAAATAAGAAAAAAATAGGTTTTCATCATTCTTACCTCATATGGATCTGATCCATCCTTGTCAGGTACCACCTCGGTCATCCCATGGCACACAAGATCCACCTACACAAAAAGAAAAACTGTGTCCATCTCCTTTAGTCTTTCTTTGTCTGGGGATTGATTCATCACAATATAGCAGGCACAACTCACCTATATGATATATAGGCAATATGTCCCTTACTGAAGCCTCTCTATATTGGCAAATGCTCGTGTGTATCTTCCCAACTGTCTTCCAGATACTGTAGCCTCATCTCATATCCACTTCAAGTTATGTTCAGGTTATCAATTTTCAGAGCATTGGAGGAAATGCTTCAGATAGCCTTCTCCAATTTGCTGCCCTCCAGATGTTGGATTAACAGAATAAGCAGGTGGCTTGATCTACAATTAGCTGATATTTCTGTAGTCCAGCACATACATAGGTTGGGAAAAGCTACTGTAGAACAATCAGTGGTTGCCATGTTGTTATTTTTGATTCTGTCCAGGAAATCAATTGTCAATTTATGAGCAGGGAGCTAGACTACAAGACTTCCAAGGTCCCTTTTAACTCTGTTGTTCTGTTATTCTGAACACTTGCCTCTCTGTTCTTGAAGCAGGTTATGAATGGTTGTATACTGTACCTAAATATTACTAATTTTCATATTTATAAACCACAAAGCTTTATTTTGGAGTATACAGAAAGGTACATGGTTCATGATTTTACCTCTTCCTTGTACTTATGCTTTGCAAAATTACTAATCTGAGATTAGGGGTAAAGTCTCAAAAAAAAAAAGATAAAATACAAGTTATTGTTGTGGGAGGGCAAACTCTTAGTTCTTTTTCTTGGTGGTATTCCCTTGAGTCCCCAGTCATGTGTCAGCCAAATCTGATGGTAGACAATTTCTTTCCATATTTGAAAGAAAAATGAGCAACAAAATACCATTTTTTAACTGAACTTTAAAAGAATGGAAAAAAGTAGACTCAGAAATTCTGCCTTGCACCCTCTTGTGATATCACTGCACCACTGCTACACACCTCATGGCTCTTGTAGGTAGAACAAAATTACAAGTAAATAAGACATTGAAAACAAATTTCATTTTCACCATTAGGAACGTTATGATCTCTATGATGTCTAAAACTTTCTGCATACCTGTGTATATATAGTTCAAAGTAATGATAGACTGGAAAGAAGTTATTTATCACCCATCCTCAAAGTTATGGCTGCTGTACCACTCCCCTGGTTATGTGATTATATTTTGTGACTTTTTTGCCATTTTCCAGCAAAAAAAAAACATCCAGTGGATAAGTTGGATTTGGATTTATAATCACACGATTTGCTTTAACTACCACATCTCTTTAATGATTTGCTTAATGACTGTTGTAAAATCAAATCCAAACCTGTGGTGACTTGAATGATTACTACAATGACTTATGACCAAAATTCTGGGCTCAATTGTGATCGTAAGTTGAGGATTACCATTAGGTCATCATTTCAGAGACATTTCCTCACCTAAACAGGGAAAGAGAAGGACGATGGGTGGGCAAAAACTGTGGGAGCAGGAGTGATTTCCGACCTGCTGCCAGCTTCCCCGCTGACTTTCCTAGCAGGAGGCTGTCAAGGAGTGCTGGAAATGACTGTCATGTGATTGCTGTTGACTGGAGCAGCACTGAAGCCGTCATAACTTTGCTAAATTTCGATTCCATGGGAGTCATGCTTCCCAAATGCAGTCTATAAGCCCATTGAGAGTATGTTGATTCAAAAATTTGTCACCCTATGATGCATCATTTTGCCCAATTTGAAGGTTTACGATCAATCAGGCTTGAGAATTTTAATAATATACAGAGACACAGAGAGAGAAAGAAAGAAGTCAGACATCCTCACCTTGAAATGGTCGAGCAGATCGGCAGTAACTGAATAGGGAGCTCCAATCACTACTTCAGAAACGTACTAAAGGGAGAGGAAAGGGGAAAAAAAGCCAGCCGTAACTGCACAGTCCACGTATTTATTAATTATTCTTTTAATTAGTGAATTTTGAAAAGTAAGGTTTTAGGAGGCAAATAGAGCACTGAGAGATTCCATTAGATCAGGGGTATAAACTCGCAACGTCACGTGACGTGTCGCGCGTATCGCAACTTTTTTTCCCATTGCCGGCAATAGGGTGGGCGCGGTTTCGGCATGAGACGTCCGGCCCGCGGGCCAGCAGTTTGACACCCCTGCATTAGATAATGAGGCTTACTTTTGTGGCATGGGCTAATAGGGCTATAGTTCAGAGAAGTAGTAATTGAAATCTGTATTTTCTACAACAGCGGTCCCCAGTCTTTCCAGCTCTGTGGACAAGTGGGGGAGGTGGAGGAGGGGAGAGGAGATGGTTCCATGCATCTGAGTCACTTGCAGATGCAGCTTTGCATGCTTATGCACTCGCCCGCTGTTTGTGCGGCCTGGTTCCCAATGGGTCGGGCCTCTGGCCAGGGGTTGGGGATCCCTGTTCTACAAGTTTCAGAAGAAAAACAGTCTCTCTTTTACAAAATTTCTAGGGAGGCCCAGCGGGCCAGGTCTAACCACATCGCGGACTGCATCTGGCCCACGGGCCTTCAGGTTGATATGTCTGTGTTGCAGCATCCCCATGGTCACATGATCAAAATTCAGACACTTGGCAACTGACTCATATTTATGACGGTCACAGAGTCCCAGGTTCACGTGATCACCTTTTGTGACAAGCAAAGTCAATGGGGAAGTCAGATTCACTTAACAACAGTGTTACTAACTTAACAACTGCAGTGATTTACTTAACAATTGTGGCAAAAAAGGTCGTAAAATGGGGCAAAATTCACTTAACAACTGTCTCGTTTAGCAACAGAAATTTTGGGCTCAATTGTGGCCGTATGTCAAGGATGACCTGTATATGCACCATTCTACTCCCCATTAACCTGTCTTAAGTAATAGCTATCTTAATATCCTGAACCCCATATTATTAATTCATAATTTGGTTTTTTTTAAAAATAGTGAATGTGGAAAATTTTGAAGAACATACAGGTAATCCTCGACTTACAACCACAATTGATCCCAAAATTTCTGTTGCTAAGTGAGACATTTGTTAAATGAGTTTTGCCCCATTTCGTGACCCTTCTTGCTACAATTGTTTAAGTGAATCGCCACTTGATAAGTTAGTAACATGATTGTTAAGTGAATTTGGCTTCCCCATTGGTTTTGCTTGCAAAAGCTGATAACAAGGCCTTGGGACACAGCAAGGTCATAAGTCTGAGTCAGTTACCAAGCATCTGAATTTCGATCACATGATCATGGGCATGCTACTAAGATCCTAAGTATGAAAAACGGTCATAAGTCACTTTTTTCAATGCCACTGTAACTTTGAACGATCATTAAATAAATTGTTGTAAGTCGAGGACTGTCTGTAATTTCTTTTCTGGAGAAACACAGTTTTAAAAAATGTATTTGTTTTTACTCTAAAGTTATTCCATGGAATTTAAGGCAATATTCTTGGGTCACTAGATCATCAACTAAGCCAGACTTGATTCACTTCAGGACAGTTTGCTTTATTTGCTTTATTTTCACTTTATGTCCTAATTAGAAAAGAATGATTCTAGCCAAATACTCACTCTGCAGGCCAAAACACTGAGAGTTCGTTCGTGCACATTCATTATGGGATAGTTCTTGCCCTTATAGAGATTCACTTCCTGTAATTAAAATATAGCAATTAGCATCAGGTGCCACATTCATCTCCCCAGTAGGTGAAAATGATTAAGTAGTCTCCCAACCAAGCCGCTACAGAACCGATACTCACTTGGTCAAAGTGCAGCCCAACAATTATATAAGGACGCTTTGCTATTTGGTGCGCTCTCTCCAGAAAATCCACATGACCCACATCTAATATGTTCATTAAGAAAGCAAATCTCGATCACTGAGTGAAGCTAATGAGACAAAGATATGTTTTTGTCCTTTTCACAAGCCCTCTATTTCTTTTCCTAGTAGCTCACAATAGTTGTAGACTACAACATTTACAACAACTAGTCAAGGCTCGTGCTCAGAAAAAGTTCTGAAATTGATTGCAGGAACCATTGGCAAGAGCTTGTTGTACTGCAACCTTTAGCATCTGCATCCTGGTTTTTTTTTTAAAGCTATGCTTATATTTAAAATTAATGGACATTCATCCAGCATGCTCTAAAGCTTGAGGGGTAAGACACAAAATAATGGCTGAGTAAAATAACTATTACAAAATAGTTATGTCAGAAAGAGAGAGCCAGATTTATACTGCGGGGTAGGCGGGCAGGGGAGATGTAGCAAATTCAGATTAAGAGGATATTATTTGGGGTGAGGACATAATACAGCTTGAAAAAAGACCATTCCATTTTCTTAAAGTAAGCTATTACGGTATATATGTATCATCTTTTTTCACATTACTTTCCTAGATTAAAATAAAATCCCTTATCACACAAGGTTTTTACAGAGATAGTGAACATGCTTGTATTACAATTCTTTTGAAGTTTGAACAAACCACTAAGACTTCTTAGCTAAAAGTACACTTTACTATTAGATAAACTTACATTAGCCTAAGTTCCTAACTGGAAGAACATTCTAAGTCAAAACAACCTGAACAACTGATTAAGATATTAAGTATAAGCAGTTCCAAAAACAGGTATCAAGGCTTCCTAATTTGCTGCAAGAAACTCTTAATTTCATTTTTCCCCAAAGAAAACAAATCTAGGATACGAAAGAGATCAAAGGCGCCAGCCACATAGATTATGGTATCTCCAGGTTGCGGCTCCTTGCCAGATGCAAACTGGATGATCTTCTGAGATGTTTGCAGAAACTGAGAAACTCCAGTCCAGGGACTGTGACCTTTAGGGCACTGGAGAAAAAAGAACAACTTTAATATTTTTGCAGCTATTGGAATTAGTTCTCTTCCAACAGAATGAATGGAATTTTGAATTAAATAGTAGCAAGTTAAAAAAATAATTCTAATAAATCAACATATATATCAACCAACACTGATAAAGGCCAAGTAATTGCTACAAAAGGTTAACAGAGCAGTCCAAGTAGATACATAAATTTAGAGGTCACAATCACAAAGAATTGACACCAGTTAAAGGAATATAAAAACTCTTCACAGCAAGATTAAGGTAAAACTGAAACCATGATATTTTTTATTATCACCAAAAATTAAATATAGCCAATGTGACAGTTTCCCCCCCTACATTTCTACTTTTATTTCAAATTCCATTGTCCATTTTTATGCTTTGCAGTTAAAACTATGAATTCATATAACCTGAAATTCAAACTGGACAAGCACTTATCACTATGGGAATATCATTTATTTTTGACACAAAGAGATCATATGTATTGCTGCATTGATACTTTAACCCTATAGCAGATGTAAAAAAGGGGAAGCTAACAGTTGGCTGCTAATCTCTCTACTTCTGTACCATGATTATCCTCTTCAAGCACGACAATAACATTATTCAGTACTAGGAGAAGAAAGGCAGAGGATTTCATAGAATCAGAATTATGCTTATTGATGGAAATATTGTGCAAAAGGACTATTCCCAAGCTCTAGCTTTGTTTCAAATGAGAACATCAACAATTTATTCCTACATACATTTGATTTTATTAATTGTAATCTTTAACAGCGAATGATATACATCTTCAATCAAATCCAAGAGAAAATCTTATGCTAAGTAAAACACTTTCTCTTCAAAGCCTTAAGAGAAAAATGGAAGAAATATTTGGAATCTGAACTCTATGAACTTTGTGGGAACTCTTTGTGGCACAGACTTCCTTTTAGGTTTGTTAATATAGGTCAACTAAAATTGACCCTCAACGTTCATAGGAGACATTGTGCTAAAATACATTCTGTAAGTTGTAAACCCAAAGGTGCTTTTTCTAAAAGAAGACTGGTTTTTCTTGTTTTTTTTCTTTCTTTAAAAATGTTTTGCTTCTCATCCAAGAAACTTCTTTAGTTTTGAATTTCCAAAAAAAGAACCCCCCCCCAAGAAAGTCCAATGATTGAGCATCTCCATAGACATGTAAGTTGTAAACTTTCTAAATAATGTTAAAAAGGTTTAAACACATTGATACATGTTTCCATGTCTGACAACAATATTTAATTAGCAATGTCAATCTTTTTGATCAAAGGATTTTAGAATGATATAATCAATAATATCCTCCCCCACCTCACATCTCACCCCCCAGTCATCCCCCAGATTCCTATGTTCCTTTGTCCCAAGCCTATTTACCCATACCTCCTAACTTTCAGTAACATAGCTACCTACCCCAAGCACCCACAAACAACAAGCATCCCTCCTTCACGTTCATGGACCGAGTTTTGAGTGTTTCATTTATATATTTGCCAATATATATATATGCCAATAAAATTTAGTAACTGTGATATAATAATAATAATAATAATAATAATAATAATAATAATAATAATAATAATAATAATAATAATAATAATAATAATAATAATAATAAAGTTGGAAGGGACCTTGGAGGTCATCGAGTCCAACCCCCTGCCCAGGCAGGGACCCTACACCATTTCAGACAAACGGCTGTCAAAGAAGTAAGAAGCAACTTAGCCCAAATATTATGTGTGAGAGAAAGAGAGGGAAGACAGCCCCTTCCTAATAGTTCACAGAGTATATTTAGATGCAGATAGTGGATTGCTCAGTCTGACAAGATTTTGCCTATAAAGATGAAACAATAAAAGAACTCAGCTTGGGAGAATCCCCATGTATCTGATTCTGCATGTTGTTTTGTTATTTTTACTTAATATTTATTATTTTATAGCCTAAATTTTAGAAGATTTTAGACACCCATATATACTTCTCTCTTCTTTTGTTCTAACTTATATACCGTATTTAACGTATGTATAATAAGTGCTAGAAACTGTTCAGAATGGAAAGGAAGATTAGCTCCACCAGGTGGCATTCTTTGGGACTGCTTTTACAACTCAGAATGATTTCATGTACTGTATGCATATTACAACTCTAATGCCAAACTTATTTGTTTTGTAAATAAGTTGTTGTATTACAACTGATTTGTTGTAAGACATATAAAGCTGTACAAATTCTTCAAGGCATAATAGTAATCTCTTACATACTGTAGCAGTTCTGCATCATAAAGAAGCAGCCAAATATGAAAGTTTTTTCAAGTATATCCAGATGTCCTATAGAGATATTTTTTGAGACCTTTGCAAAGCTTGAAGCTAGCTATAATGACCCCCAAACAAACTCCTTGGTTACAAAACTATTCTAAAATCTACGCTTTTATGAGTCTCTAAATAAAAGTGGAAAATAAAGTGATTTTTGTTTGATTCAGATATTTCTGCAAATATATTTCCACATACTGATACCATAAAAATATTTCCATAGATTAGCATCTGCAGAAGAGCAAAGGGCAAAACAAGTGTTGCATCATTGCTGCACAAATTCCACTTTTTTCCAGATTGAACTTTTTTTGAATGAAAGAGAGGAGGAGGAGAGAAGAAGAAATCACAAAATGCAATGACTTGCAAATAGAAGTAGAATGACTGTGGCAAAAGAAAGTAAAGATAGTGCCACCAACACCTTTAGAATTGTACCTTGAGAGCAATCCTAAAACATCTGGAGCACTATTTGAACACCATCATCATTCACAAAATCACCATCAGTCAACTGCAAAAAACAGCTTTACTTAGAACAGCTTACATCCTGTGATGATACCCTTAACACCATCACACAATAACATCTGCATTTCCCAGAACCTTGGGAAGAAATTAACAGGTGGGTAAAAATGCCAAATCCAGCCTAAACATCTGGCCGACTGTGCAATCAACCATGATAATTCAGTTTTACAGTATAAAAAATGGGGAAATAGAAATAGTTTAAATAAATAAATCATCAATTTCAGATAACTCCACAATCTTTCAAATTTGGAATAGTTCTGCTGGAATATTATATTTGATTACGCATAAACTGCATAGAGTGGAGGACATTTGTGATGTGCTTCTGGTGCCAGTTCTTACCTTTCCTAGGTTATCTGCATGCTTCCGATAATCTGTATCTTCAGCCTAAAAGGGAAAAGAAACATATTAATGGTAAAGAAATTTCAACAAATGAAAAGAACATATGGAACTCTAAATTAGGTACAGTAGGCCTGCCATTCCTCAACTTTGCTCACTTTCCCCCCCTTGAGATCAGTGCTGACTCTTGGTGACTACATGGACAAGTCTTCTTGGCAGCATTTTTTTAGATGTGTGTTGCCATTGCCTTCTTTCTGAAGGCTGGGAGAGAGACACCCAACTGGTTTCTATATTTGAGGCAGGACTAGAATTTAGTTACCCAGGATCTACACTAAACCAGTTCTCATTAAACAATTTATTCCCATGTAAAGAAAATCGCTCAACTGAAAAAGGTACAGTTATGCAAAGCTTTAAAAGCATGCTTTGTTCTAACCACACCTTGAGCTTTACGTACAAGACAATGTGTACTTTATCCCCATGCCTACAAGAAAGCAAAACTGCCATGTTATTTTTATCCATATTACTCCAAGCCCTCTTAGTGCTACTAGAACTGCCGAATGAAGCCCAAGGAGACATAGAGTGCCTCAGCAAAGTGAATTATGTTGCCTCCGTGCTTCAATGAGGTGAAATGTATTGACCTCATAGCATGAAGTGTCTGGCTGTGTAAAGGACAGATGCCTTACATACCTCTAGAAACTAGCTCAGCAATAGTTCAGAAGCACAGTATGGCCTTCCAGCTTCAGCCACAGAGACACACAAACTAAATATATTCTTAGCCCAGTTGCCCATTTAGTACATTCCCATAACTATTTTATAAATATCCATAAGTGCCCCTGACCTAAATTAAATCTTGATCCATTTGCCAAGTAAGGCAACCTGACCTCGTCTTTCCAAATCCCACTTTTATCTGATGATCCACATAATAGCCTTTCGTTGGTATTTTCTTTCCTTCTTGGCAGCACATCTGAGGTGCATCGTATCCACTTTAAATAGCACTTCCTTAAACATATACTTTTACTTAGTTTTGGCATCTGCTGCCTGCAAGGCTGTATCAAACAGCAATAATCCTGGAATCACATTAAAGAATAATCAGAGAGCTTACAAACTTCCCCAAGATTGATTTGAGAAACTCAAAAGTATTACTGCCCTTTGCTCCAAAAACATTCCTACATCAGTGGTTCAAAGTACTGAAGGAAGCAGAGCATCGTGGAACTTGCTAAGCCATTTTTCACTTACAATGTTGCTGTGATGGGCCTTGGTCATAAGCAACATCCGGCCAACCAGATCTGTAGTGGACACTCCCTGGGTGCGTTTACATTCCCTGCAACAAGACAAGATTCAGATAAGATGGGAATTTTGCCATCCGCTCTTCAGTGTTAGCGAAGTCTTCCCTCTAAATCTTTTTGATTGTCTGAGAGTATCTTGGCATACTCTTTTTTTCTTTACTTTTTAAAAAATGTTTTGAGTTTTTAACAAGAAAATAACCCTTCTTTCATTCCTAATTGTGGGATTAATGATACAGAACACTAAACCACTATTTCCCATGTTTCCCTCCTCAACTCTTTCTGTTCAGATACTAATAAGTTCCATGGCTTTTGGATTAAAGGATCTACAATCTTCACTTATTCATCTGATATATTCATAGCTGAATAAGAGCTAAGGACAAAACCAGATCAATATAATATTAATCTAATATAACATTCAAAACTTTTAGAGGAGAAGCAAGCTATGGATGGAATGAAAAAAAATTAACAGAGCATTTCAGGATCTCTGAGCAGAATAACATAAATAGGGCTTTACCTATATCTCCCAGCTTTCTTCACTTCCTCATAAGTATCCTTGCCATCTGCAGTCAGTGTGATGTCATCTATTTAAAAAAAAACACTGCTGATAAATTGGAGGAGCTGCTTAGGTAGTCTAATCAGCAAATTCCTGCAATATGCATTTGAATTATAGTAAACAGGTATGCAAGCTGTTTTCTCTAATAACGAAGAAAGATTTTTGCTAGTTATCTTTCTCAGTCTTGAAGATAATCACTACAATCAAGCAATACTGTAGGAAGGCTCAGACTGCACAACCAGACTTGCAGAATTGAAGCAGTGTTGATCTCCATTTTCTGTTCTCAAAAACAGGACACATTTTACTGTTAATCAATCCATACTTGTATAGCTTTACTACGTTATGTCAGTTGCACAACTGATAAAAAGTAGTACAGAAAATGAGGATGATGTATATTAACAAAGCTAGCAAAATAAATTTACCATTTATTTTAATCAGTGAGGCAGACTTCTAGTAGGTAGGTAGGTAGGTATATAGTGAGAGAGAGAGAGATAAGAATACATCAAGCTCCAGTACTCACCCCCATGTACACAGAAGTCACAGCTGTATTTATCCAGAGTTTCCAATGTTGTGACATAAGGAGCTCCTTGAACAATTTCATCTACCCACTTGATGGCCTTCACCATTTTGTATCTTTCTTCCTGAGTAAAGACAGGGGGGCCTTTATGTTTGGATATTTCATCTATGGTTCAATATAAAAAGGGAGAGAAAAAGAGGTGATTATCAGGCCTGTGTATATATCCCATGCCTCTGTTAATTTCCCAAAAACTCCTACAGAAGGAAAAAGATTAAAAAAAACTGTGTAGCCTTTAAAAATTCAATAGTGAGCTTCAATTAAGGCTCACATTTAGCTTGCCCCAGGAAGCAATCTCTGACTCCACAATACTACAAGATGGTAAAGACTTTGTAGCTGGATTGTTCTTCTCCTGATTAGACAGGATACTTCTAATTGCCAATTGCTGGAAAGAGTGCCATGACACCTTATTTATAATAATTTAGTTTATTTTTTTTTAAAAAAATACTATTTTATGAGGCACATATACTGTATATTCATGCTGGTTTAATTATATTGCTCATTCAGAAAGAAGCTTGAGTAAGCTACAGTATCAATTTTCTTGACAATGAATATGAATATTTCAAGTACAGAACTTAAATATTGATTATTCTGGGCAAAATAACTTACTAATAGCTTACTATTAGGAATACCATCCAAAAATGCAAAATATTCCAAACACGTTCTGGATGCCAATGTATATGTCACACTGTCGATCCATATTTCAATAAGGTGTCACGATTTTCTGACATAGAGATGCAGAAATATCCCAGCCTTTTCTTATATTCTGGGGATACAAATTCTGAATTCTTTTAAAACACAAAGGAAGAACTGGAGGAGGAAAAAAGTTATAGACCAAGACGGGAAGCTGGGATTCTGTCTAACTCCTCAAGCAGCTTCAGAATTAACTTACTGAAGTACTTAGGAAGTAAGGAAACCCATTCAAGAAAATAAAGAGAACAACTAATGGGGGACAACTAAGAGGGACAAAGTTGTCAATGGTTTTCTTATTTATAGTTATCAGATTTAAAGTAGATAAAATAATTAATGGTATTGAACAATATAAGGCAGAAATTAAAAGGGAATTGTGTATAAATGATGAATATCATCATTTAGCAATTGCTAAAATGTATAATTTTTAATGAAATTTGCAACAGAAGACTATCAAAGAATTTAGGATAAAATTTGGTTATAATATACAGATCTAACAGTGGGGAAATATGAGGTCTAAAGCAGTGGCCACCAACTTTTGAGCACCATGGACTGGTTCCATGGGGAGAGGTTTTTCTGCGGACTGGAGGGGGTGTAGTTGTGTGTGCTGCCTGCATCCGGTGGATGGGGCTTTGCTTGTTTGCGCGGCCTAGTTACTGGCATGCTGTGGACCGGTGCTGGTTGACTGACCGGGGGTTGGGGACCCCTGGTTTAAAGGACTGAAATTTACATTGTGTTACAATTTAAGAAATTTTATTAAACGATGTACTGTTGGTATATTGCACCAGAAAAATTATTCAGAATGTATAAACATTCTTCAAATTTATGCTGGAAATGTGAACAATTTTTTTTATCATGCTTGATGGATATGCAACAAAGCTAGAAAACCTTGGGCTCAAATATATATATAGTGATTCAAAGGATTTTAAAGACTGAACTTTTCCTCCTGGGACTGATGGATAAAGAGTTAGAAAAGAGCCATGGAACACTGTTTTGCAATGAGATTATTGTATGCACAAAGATTAAAAGCTCTGGTGATACCTGTAAATGGAGGAAATAGTTGATGAAGATGACAGAACTTGTTGAAAGGGCTAAGTTGACTTGTTTGATTACAGAAAAGACAATATCTACATTTCTTGGTGCCTGGAAATCCCTTATGGACTTTTTGCCAAAAGAAAAAGAAAAAAAATAACTTATGATTTAGGCTTTTATTATTAGCTAGGATAGATTATAGAAAGAAGAGAGTTATGATGTAACTTTAGAGAGAAGTTAATATATAATTGTACTTATAGTTGGTGTGAAGAAGACAGGAAGCCATTTTTGTATCTTTCTTTATATCTTTTTTCCTGCATGTATATGTGTATGTATGTAAATGCATATGCATATTTGTTTCAGGAAAAGATTACCTCTAAAAAACACAGGTAAAAATATTTAGCTAGGAATGTTGCATTGTTTAATCTTTCTTTTACCGTGAAGTATTGACGTGTCCTGGTTTTTAATTTTACTTTGTACAAGTTTGTTAATTATGTGTACTGCAGCCTTCATGAATATCCTCAGTTTGTGCATGAGACAATAATTTTAGAATCTTTTCTGATCGTTAATGATTAGTTTGCAGCTTCCAGCAGCATACTTGTAATTGTAGTAAAATGCTTGTTTGTAGCAGATTAGTAAATCCTATGATCTGCTGGGAGTATTACAATTCTTATGTAAATGTTCTTTTTAATAAGACTGCTATTTTTCCATAATCTGAACAGCTATAACTGATCTCCTCATTACTAAACTCTGGCATTTTGGGACATTTAAAATTGAATAGCTTATTATAGCTATTATAACATATATTTTCTTTCTTTAATAAAGTTTGATTTTGTTTATATTTTATAAAATTGGTCTATCTCCTAAGGGTGAGAGAGCAAGGGGTGAATTTTCTTGTCACATGTCTTTGAGCTACATGGCAAGGAAGTGCAATACTGAAATTATTCAATTTTTTCCATTTAACAATTGTTCATGTTTCATGAACATGAAAGAGAGCACATGCTGTCAGAGCCCTATGTCTCTCATACACTGAGATGAGGGGATGAATGCTAGTGAGGTGCCTCCAGAAAGTAGGCTGTGGCACTGGGAATTACCAAGTTTTCACCTGAAAGCTAACATAGGGCCAGGATGTGAAGACCTTTACGGCTTCAAGAAAAAAAGTGTTGAGATCTCTAGTATCTGTCTTACAGGGTCAGCTGTTGTGCTATCTATTATTTAAGTTTAATAATATTAAGAATGAACTAGAGGATTACTAAGAACTAAGGTTCTTAGGGTATTAAACTAAATAATTACAAGAGAGATGAATCACACTAAACCAAAATCAATCCAATATGTAACCATGTTGTTCTAGGATATAATGTAGTTTGTTTTGATTTTGTTCAGTGTGTTGGGTAGGCACTACAATGCTCCACAATTTGAAAACTATAGTTGATGGCAATCTTTTGCAGGTTCATAGAACACCCCAAAAGTCATGCCACTAAAATTTGGTGGCACATCGAAGACAATCAGTAATGTGATTTTCTACATTGGAAAATAGTTTTAAACATATCAATTTCACTTAAAAAGCCCAAACTGCCAAAAATGTTTAAAAACAAAAAGGATTGAAAATTACTAACCCTAACCCTCTGATGATGTCACCATGTCAGTATCATGGTCCATGACCCTCAGCAGCTGAAAAGAAAAATGAAAAGGAAAGTATGGCTCTTGGATCCAAACAGGATGACTATTCCTGCTTCAAGTTAGTACAATGTGTGAACCCAATCAACTCAATAAACAATAGTTAAAATTAATAGCTTAACTAGATATATGAATCCAGCCATCTCCCACAATAGGAATTGGTTTGGAGCATTACTGAGTATGTTGGTTTAAATACATTTAAGGTAGGGAAAATATATCTCTCCCTCCACCCCCATCTTTTTATGTACCTTTGTTCTTTTTTCTCCTTCCTCTTAGGAGGAAGGAAATGGGATCTCCGTGTCCTTGTCATCTTTCAGCTGGGAGTTAATGAAGCTTTTTCTTTTCAATTTTAGCTCTAGCCAGTTTTTCCCCTTTTCCTAGCTGATTTTAAATAATATAATTGGGCATACTTCAGTAACACACTGGGATGAAAAGAATGGACTGAACTTGAAAGCTATTATTTGGTCCTCTTACAGTTCTGTTCCTGCTATTGTATTATATGAGTTTGCTATTGATTTTATTTTTTCCAGTTCATAAGGTGATTAAAAATATTTGGGTTCTGCTGGGGAAAAAATATAAGGTTTGATTCCAATTCTCATGCAAAACTAACATGTGGGATTATCCCTATTTAAAAATTCTGGAAAAAGATTTTTGGGGGGGGGGTTGGTGGTGGTGTAAGAACTTGGGCTGAGAATAAGATTACTAGCAAGCAAGTAAATGATTAAAAAAAAACCTTGAAGTTTTACAAAAGAAATTTATTATTTATTTATTATCTGGCGTATGATAAGAACATGACAAATTACAAAAGGAATGTAACTTACCTAACACAGCCAAAAAACAATGCAGATAGATCTTGGTTAATGATGGCAACTGGGACCCGAATTACCATTAAATGATGCAGTAAAGCATGAAGTGTCACATGACAACCCTGCTTAGTGATGGCAAATCCAGCATTCCCATAATTATTCCCATAATTAAATGAATCACTACAGGTCATTAAGTGAGGACGTTGTGACCATCTGCAACTTCCTGCTGCTTCCCCACTGATTTTGTTTGTCAGAAGCTGGCAAGGAAGATCGTAGATGGGGACCAGGAGGCTGTAGGATGCTGCAATATTGTAATTGTGAGCTGGGTGCCAAGCACCCAGACTTCAATCATGTGACTGCAGGGACACTGCACTGGTCAAAGCTCCAAGGACCAGTAAGCAGTGGTGGGATTCAGCCGCTTCGTACCACTTTGGCAGAATTGGTAGCTAATTTTTTGCTGCCCAGGCCCAGAATGGACTTCTGGAAGTGGCATCCACACAGAGAACTGGTTGTTCACATATTTGAATCCCACCACTGCCAGTAGGTACTACCCATTCAGGGCCATCTCAAATCTGAATGGTCATTGAACAGGTGGTTGTTAAGTGAGGAGCAGCTGTATACACAAACACTTTTAGTTTCATTGTTTGACCCTGATGCCTCAGCAGATTCTAAAATTCCAATATATATTGGAAAAAAGCATTTATAGAGATTTAATCAACAATTTATTATTAGCAAATGTTAATAAAAATACATTTGGATAACATACAAGAAATATGGCAGAGAGTTGCAATAGTTTTAAATACGTTATACACAATTTAAAATTAATTTAATTCAGCAAAAATAATATGTCAGGTTTATTGAACTCCCCAAAAGTTGCTAAAAAAGCTTGGCTGTTATCCATTT